CACCCCCTCGGCGTCTTTGTGGACGGCCCAGGAGGTGAGCAGCGTTTTGATGCTTGGGGGGGGGTCGGGCTGGAAGAAGTTGGCGGCGCGGCCTCGCAGGGAGGGTCGCCCCCGCCCCGCCGGGTGATCCCAGGGGGGGGGAGAAAAGCCGAAACTACGGCCGCGGCCGAGTGGGGCCTCCGTCGCGCGTGTGAACTCTCGCACGACCTTTGGGATGATCGTCAGGCCCTTCGTGCGGCCAGTTGGAGAGGGAGGGGAGGCCTCGGCCTCCTCCTCGTTTGGGGGGGGTTTGCCGAAGCAGTGCGTGCTGAGGTCGATCCCGGCGGCCTCCCAGTCGTAGCCGCGGTCGATTGGGACCCCCGGCGGCCGCATCGCCGGGCGCGTGAGGCCGTCGTCGAGTTCGCGGGTCCGCAGACAGGCCGCGACGCAGTCCCGTTCTGTCCTTGATGCGCCCTCATTCGTGACCCCAGCCGGGCGGGTTTGCGGGGACGCCCGATGGGAACGCGTGGCGTGGTGGGATCGGTTTGACGAGTGCATCCTTTTCGTCTCCTCCACCTCCTTTTCCTTTCTGCTGTTTCTTTTATTTTCCCTTTTTTTCTTTTCTTTTAGTTGTGTGTGTGTGTAGCTTAAATACGCTATTCCACCACCTGTGTAACGTACGCTGACACAGAAGAGTGAAGGGAACTGAAAACCACCACCTCGTCTAGGATACTCCCCCGTATACACAAAAAAACCCGAGGACGGATCAATATAATATAGAAAAAAGAAGAAGAAATAGAAAGATATTTATTCATAGAGTGTGAGAATGGATTAGAAAAATGTTTATTGAGTAGGGAGACCCATATTGGACACCTTTTTCCTCTCAAATTGATCATAATATATCAGGTTTGGTATAAATTTAGCCAACTACAAGAGTGAGCCATTTTGCTCATTCAACCTTATTATTTTGTCCAGAAGCCGTCCCTGCGGCGCAGAGAGGGAAAAAAGCGTTCATTCGCACCGCGTCTGGGAGACGTTTCCTTTCACAAAGTCGTTAGGCAGACCTAAATTGCCTTTCATAATATTATACAAGCTAGTGTGCATAGTTGCCATTAGCAGTAAGCGCTCTGTGAATCTGAGCCGGTTGATGATGGGTGAATACCACACCTGTCTAATCTCAAATTTAATGACGATGTGAGAAAGGTGAATGAATGTGATTATTTGCACTATGAAAATCCAGATCGGCCATTTTACTCGCAGTCAAGGCCACCCGTTGAGAAGTTATACAGAAAGTAAACGATGGATAAAGAATTTGTAAAGGGGGGTTAGAGAATATCACACCATAGAGCGATACCTATTCAATCACGTTATCAGGGAGAATTGTATCGCTTTCATTCTCTATGTTAGATTCATCGTAGGTGCTGCCCTTTCTGAGGGATGGCCACTTCTTGTCCAATAGTGAGTTAGCGTTTAAAATAGATATTATTTATGAATAGCGTTTCATTTTAAATGTACGAATGCGGTTGTGTATGTGTGTATCAGTTTGACAATTTAATTTTTAATGCAAATGCGAATGACAGTCGATAAAACTGCCCCGCAGATATTTCAGAAATGAAGTGTATTTATCAACCTTGCTGCCATGGGTAAGGGGTTATAAAGTTTGTCAAGCAAATTAAATTCACTATTCTATGGACAAGCTAGGATACCATAAGGAGTTCAAAAGTAGACCGCGTTCTGCTGCAGTTTCACAGAATGGGATGCGTCTCTAGCGGTATTCCCTCAAGAATTCAACGCCATCAGGTGGTCACTTGGACTTCCTCTCGTTTGGATTGTCATGGCTCCTAATTGGTTTCCTGAATATCTAGAAAAGTTATCAGCTCTAGCATATTGTGCATCAGTAAAGTGTCAAAAGGACGCATATGCCACAGAGACACCCATGTATTTCCGTAAGATTAGAAAAATAAGCAACCAAATGTTTATAACAAATATAATAAAAGCATTGTATAAATATATAATAAAGTTATCTAGAGCTGCAGAAGGTCCATAAGGGAGAGGTATGCACCCTCAAAAATCACTAAAAAGACTCCACCTCACGTTTTTTTAATTTGTGTCTTTATTAAGATCTTGTATGCTTGACAGCAGGGGCATAATAGGTTAGATTTTTCAGCTAGCACTATCGTACAAATATATGAATATATCTGTTTTTCTTTATATATATATATATATATATATATATATATATAATATAGTACAATTTCTAAGTGTTAAGGGCCGTGGCGACGCAGAAAGGCTGCTCTCCCTTTTAATTTCTCTTTTTATTAATATTTATGGGGATGCTGTTTGGTGACTCCTTTGGTGGTTTGCATTTCTCCGAGCGACTCCATGCGTCAGCGTGAAGTTTCCTCAGAATAGAGCTATACTGGTATTCATTATACACCTTTGTTTGCAAGATTACACAAAAGAGCAGGATGACGTGCGAGATCGCAAAGCTTACAGGCCGGATGGCATCTGGCGAACGTTCGAGAAACCCCAGTAAAACTCCTAAGTGAGGGGTGTGCGCCGCCCACCACATTTTCACCCCTGGAACATTAGACAGCAGCGAAATAAGGAGAGGGAGACCGCTTAAAGGGGCTATTTTACGCCAATTCATAAATAACGAGAGATGAATCGACTGCAAATTCCAGACATATAAGAGGGTGCCCAGCGTGACCGCAATAGTTAAAAGAGAAGTCGAGGTGATTACGAGCACACAGGAGCAGATCAGCAGCGGGTAGAGGGAGTCGAACGTGGAGATAATGGGCTTCATCAATCGCGAGACGCAGCTCGCTTGGTACAGAAAGTCAGGAACGATCCGTTCGAATTCCTCGCGCGGGAGCCGAAAAAGATCCCGAACCCGCTGCACTTGAAGGAGATCGAAGAGGTTATCATGACCTCCATGGTGCATCGCATCGAGGTTCAGCCGATGCTCCACTATGGGGACCACGCGGCGGTAATTCAGAAGGGCGACCACGCAGGCCCAGCAGCTCAGCGCGGCGCCTCCCCCCCCGCAGTTCCCCCAACCCCATTCTTCCCACCTCACGCGGGAATCCTCTCTTGTAGCCTCGCGTTTTGTCTGTATGGCCTGTCCGAACCTCACTGCGGCCATCCAGAGAAAAGTCAAGGTCAGTAGAAGCCGCAGTGCGCAGAGCCAGGAGGGCCGCCGCGCGAGTCTCGAGCGGCCTGCCACGCAGATCAGCCCGACCCCCACCGCGAACCCGATCGCCAGGCCCGAGGAAATGGTCAAATGCAGGGCCAGAAGAAGGACCAAAGCCAGGAGCTCAAAACCGAGGCTTGGCAGAAGCTGGACGGAGAGAAATCCCCACCATCGCGGGGTGTAGTAGCTGTCCTGGTAGTAGTGAAGGAAGTGAGAGGGGAGAAAAGGCCAGGTGGCGTGGTACAGCATCATGCCCAGGGCTAAAAAAAAGAAAATCCACACTTCCTCCGTTGGACCCCACGGAGGACTCCCGGAAAGCTTCCAAAGCCCTAGGAAGGTTTCTAGACGAACCCCCTCCCCCCATGTAAAAAGACCAGGGATGATGGTCGTAATTGTTGGAACCCAACGCAGTTGATAGATCCCCCACAGACTCGCGTGGAGCCCCATATAAAGAGGTAAAAAAGGGGATGACAGGCCATCCATCAGGAGAAATATCCCATACCCCGCGTTTAGCAAACTCGGGTGTCGTAGCGCGGCGATCCCGAGCGCGGCTTGGCCTAACACGATGCTCACCAAAGCTAGCACCCGAAGACCGCCATTGGGGTGAAGCGCGTTTTCGAAAAAAAAACTTATTGACCATGGTTGAGCATGAGGAAATCTCTCCTCATCGGGGGTTAGGAAGTTTAACACCCAAGCACTCTCATAGTCCTCATTGCGGTCGTCTTCGTTGAGGGATTCACACGCCGGGGCAATTTTCAGCCGAAGCAGCAGCAGCAGAATTCCCCAGTGCAAGATCCCGAGCGCTAACCCGACGCCTTCTTCCGCATCGTTCACCACGGGGGTCGCCGGAAAGCCCAGAAGCTCGCGAACACACCCTCGCGCAAGCTCCTCCGTTTGGCAATCCGGTAAATTCCTCATTACAACCCCAATCACCACCTCCCGCAGTTGTAGTGTCGATGCGATAGTGGTCATCCCACACGCCACCACGGCGTGGATCGTGGCTAATCGAATCACCCACCGCGCCGCGTCTTTTTGCACCATCGCAAAGGCAATTCCCACCCCCAAATTAAGCAGAAACGCGAGGTGGTGAAAGACCCCTCGCGGGGCGTACAGTTTCATCCACATGGATAGCCCCATCCCGACCAAAATCCACGGCCCTCCCCAGGGGGTCCACTTTGCCCAATTTGGATGCCCGGGGGTTGGGCGGCCCAAGGCCCGGAGAAGTAGCCCGGAGGTGAGATAAGGGAGGGCCTCCCAGCGGCTTGTCAGCCTGCGCAGCCCTAGGGTGGTGAACCTCAGCGCGGTGGACCCCACACACGCGTTGGGGTCCTCCAAGCTGGGCAGGATCTGTGACAGCAGCACCACCCCCGTGACCGCGTTGACACAGAACAAAGGGACAGGGCCATCGAGGGAATCCCCCCCCTCTCCCCCCCTCCCAAGGCCGAGGACCGTCCAGAGAAGAGCCCCGTGCAGGAGGTCCAGCCCGCCCTGTTGCAGGCTGTGGTAAACCACAAGGCCAAGGAGGCCACCCAGCCCGAGCAGGCGCGCGATGGAGGGTAAGGAGGCCTTCCACACGGGTGTGGGACGAGAGGGAGCGCCCTTGTGGGGGGGGTGGCGGAGCCGGGGCGCGCGGGGTTCAGGTGGAAGGGTTGCCACACTTGAGCAGGAGGCCGTGGGGGATCGCACCAGGAGGTCATCGGGGTGGTCCGGGGCGAACCCAACGTCGGGCTCACTGGATACCGGCTCCGTATCTTTGGTTGCGTGAAGGGCCGCAGGGGTAGGGTTGGATAGGGGTTTCGTCGACCGATGTGAAAGTACGACCAGCCACACCAACAACATGACATTTATTGTGAACTGCATTACACACAAAGCCTTGTTATTCGCATCACTTATGAAAATTTTCACCACCCAGTGATCGATGGGAAATAATAAAGAACGGGTGGCAGCATTAAGGATATACTGTATTAGAACCATTACAGAGGCAGTAAAAATCGTGGTCACGTGCAGGGCGGTAAAGACACTCGACGAAGTTCCCTTCTCCGTTGTTAATCCTAATCCCTGAGAGCTGAAAAAGCTGATAAAAACCAAACTAACGGAAGGAAGGCTAGGGAAAAAGGCCGTATTGCACACACTGCATCCTACAAACAGTTGAGCACGCCATACTAAAGACTTGAATAGTAAAATAAAGGATGATAAGGGTGGTTGAGATCCATCATGGGTCTCATCGGACGCTGCTAGGTGTGGCGCATTTTGGAGTAGGATTTCCTGCACCTCACACGTATAGCTATGCCTTTTGGCAATAAGAGCCTCTGTGAACCATGCACAAACTATCATCCCTAGAAAGTGCGCGATGTGCCACCAAAGAATTCCTCCTCCAGTTTTGGAAACACGAAAAAGGCCGATAAAGGAGATGTTAGAGTCCCCAAGAAGCTTCTGGAGCATCCAAAACACCTCATCGTTTTCAGAAACACCTATGACAATCAATACAAATACTAGAGCACATTGTAGATAATAAAGTTGAATGTTTAAGTAGAGTTCTTTCGACGGTTGATAGTGATTCGACTCCAACAGCCCTGGAAGAGTCTGTTTGATAAGAGCCAGGGGTGTGGCAATGAGCAGTAAGGCAGAAAGACATGAAGGTAGAAAAAGGGCAGTGATTACAAAGCTGCATAGCCAGAGAGTATGAAGCAGCTGATGTGTGAAAAATGAGCTTGTATTGTTTCGTACCACAAGCTCTTGCTTTTTATTTTTGTAAGTATTGGAACTAACTCTTAGAATGGAACATCGATAAAGTCCTCCCAGAGCAACAATGAGCGAGGAGGGCAGCAACCGAAGCGCTAATGTAGGAATCCATTTTTCATTCTTTACGGGAATCACAACCCCTAGTAATGGTTGAAGCCACACTGCGTGTGCCCAGGATAACAGGGCCGAACTACATGCAGGGAAGAATGCTAGGATGAGATTCACTACAATCGTTAATGCCACACGAAAACATACAGTCCACATAAAAAGAATAATAAAAGATTTATCAAAGCAGTCATCAGTATGTCTTTTTAACATTTTCAAGAAAAAATAAATAAGTAGAGAAGCTATACAACCTCCACAATTCATTAAGAAACCTAGAAGTATATATATCGGAAGTTTGTGGATAACAGCCATTCGGTATTTGTTTGGCTGCATCCTTTGAATTTGTATCAGAAGTGCTTCCAAACTAGAGCTTAGACGTAAAAGCAAAATGATATGGAGAAAAGCGAACAAGTCACGCTGTATGCATTTGTCATTATCTAAAGTAGAATCTAAAGACAGTAAACATCCAGAAGTGGTGGATGAGTAATAAAATTATGTTGCAACCATTTTACCTTGAAAGAAACTTCATCAAGACGAATCCCATTCAAAAGGAGAAGAATACATTCCTCCCCTTTACAACACAGAAGAAAAAAACACCTAAACAAATATTAAACCGAAGCATAGACACCCTCTTTTCACTATTTTCGATGTTTAAGTGTGTTAGTTATGTCCATCCTTCAGTGAGCCCACTACGCACATACTCAATATTGGTGAATCAGACTATCTAAGGGTACCCTATTTTCAAATAATAAATGCTCTTCCTCTTTGTCCTCCGTAAACTTTAGTTTAGATTGTACAGTGTGCTTCGCACCCCCTTCACATACTCAGGGGTCCCCCACCGACGTTGTAGACGGCCGTGAGCTTTGATCAGATTCCACATATGTGTCCTCCGCCACTGACTAAGGGAGGTGTTCTCGATGGTGTTGTTTGCAATGATAGCCTGAATTCGGGAGTTGATATAACTATCCATGGAAGTCGTCCCTGTCTCCTTGCACGACTCGTTCAGTACACCTTGATTCCACTTCATGATTTGCTGATGAGAGGGATGCGAAACCAACACCCCACCGTCATCCAACGCGAACATGCGAAAATTCGGCGAAAGCGTCCGCGTTGTTGGCGATAAGCCGTCCTCGTCCGAGAACGGCGCCGTAGGGGCCTGCGGGACAGGCTGGATTCTAAAGCGGCGGTCCTTTTTTGGTGTGTAGACGGACATCCCAAAACCCCCAAAGCCGTACCGAATAAACCCGCGATTGTACACGCGGCCGTAGCGTGTGCCCGCGTTCGGGTCCTGCCCCCGCTTCTTCTGATGGGACTGGACGTGAAGGGTGACCCAGCAGCGTCGCAGCATTTTTTTTTTTTTGGGGGGGCAATTCACTATCAGTCTAGTTTTAGAAAGTTTCCTTTTTAATTATTATCCCCCTTTGATTGGTTTGAGTGGGCGTAGGATCATGTCACAATCCATCTCACGTGGGAATCGTAAAGGAAAGACGAGAAAGTGGAAAAGAGAAGAGAACGATGCCGAGGTTTAGCATCAAAAAACGTTCACGGAAGGGTTTAAATAGGACTCTCGCTTTTGCTCTTTCTTTCCTCCTTTCTCTCTCGCTATCCATGCCCCCAGGTTGTTGTCGCTTGATAAGAATGTTTTAGATGTTTCCCTAACATGTGTTCATTGATTGGGAAAATAAAGGACGTTAAGGTTTTTCTACCTTTTTGCCACATACCGAAGCCATTGGGCTTGTGTGTGTGTGTTGTGGTACTTTACTCTAACATACCACGAGCCGCTCTCAGCTCCGCTATCCGCCTTGGAATACAATATTGAGCATCTGTCGATGCACATGGCTTTAATTGGGATTGAACATCCTTTATATTTATTTGTGAGGCTCGTATCTTGGCCTCCTCTAACTGAATCATCATTTCCCCCTCAAGCTTCCTTAGCATTTTTAATGCGCACTTGCATGCACTAGGCGAGCATCGCATCGCTTCTTCAGGCGTCTTAGATACAGACAGCTCAGCTTTGTCCTTCATTGTTAATTCACTTAATCTCAGTTCTTCATTATAAATGCGCAAGATTTGGATATTGGAAGGGAGAATGGACTTTTTGGGTAGCAGCCAGTACAAGCTATAAAGTTTTGCATAGATTGACCTCAATTAACAAAAAGAACTTTTGGGAAACCTAACGTGGTAGCAAAAACATAGCCTCATCTACCAATGCAGAGATTTTCCGCTTGCCTCTTCTCGTTTTAAAGACTTATTGGTCTTTTATTATTACTCCTTCAGGAAGTTCATGAGATAAAGTACGCTTTACGAATCCTTTTGAGTAAATTGCTCTACAATACGAATAATAGCTCGCAGGTGTTTATTCGTCAGGCTGTCAAGCAAAACCTCCCCTTCAACAAGCACACCAGGGTCGTTTTTCTCAAAGTACTCTAAGAGCGCTTGATTCACCTCGAGGCTGCCGTGCTTTTGCATGAGATTGTAGAACTCGTCGATCTCCGCTTTCGGGGCGGGTTTTTCTTCCTCGTAGCGTTGTCGAATCCGATCAAACGCCGCGGCGCAGTTCCGAGCCCCGGCCGTAATCGTCGAATTCGGCCCATTAAAGGTTTCACAATTTCGCCAGATCAGCTCGACGTCATCCAAGATCTGCCCCGGCGTGGTGTAAGTTTTTCCTTCCACGATGCGATCCAACACCACGCGCAGGCTCATCGGTTGATCTACAACTTGATAATAACTTAACACCTCCGGCTCCAGCGCGTTCACTGGCTCACGAAAGTTCACCGCACTTCCTTCCTCCGTGTAGAGTTTGTACAAACAATGGTAAAGATCGCGAAGGTCGGGGAGGGTATTGAGGTGAGCCTGGTAGGCATGGCTACCCGAGGGGAGAGGGGGGTGTTTAATCGCGCAGTTGATGTACTGCAGCCAATACTCGATATCCTTCCCGGGGTCCGACGATGGGGTGTTGGAGGTGGTTGTGGACATCCTCCGCGATGGCCGTCTCGTTACGTTTTTTGTGTGTGTTTGGGATTTGTGTCACCTGAGCCGCAATCTGAGAGTTACAGAGGTTTATGAGGTGAGGTCGAATTGTGCAATATCAGGGGGAAAAAGAAGGGTTTGGTTGGTTGGTCGAAATACACTCCACCCCTGCTGAAGTTCGGGCACACGTTGTGAGAGGTTGGGTGTGTGGGTGGGATGAACTTTTTCTAATTTTTTCTAAAATTCTTTTTTTAATTTACCAAACCTCTATAAATTATATATAGGGTTAGAGTTTATAGGCGTGATGCTTATCTACCGAAAGTATTTTTTCTTGTATGAATAGTGCATATTGCCCCACAGGGGTCGGGGAGGAAATAAATTCGTGGAAGAGGGGAAGGCATAGAAATCCCATTCACATACGATTTCAGGTTTGCATTTCAAATAACCACTTATAGTCCCATTCACCATGAAAGTATCATCATAAAAGGTAAAAAAAAACGCAACATCAATGAAACGAAGAATATAGCACCTAAAATGAAATACCTATTTAAGCACCAAACGTTCAAAATGAAAACTAACCACAGACTAAACGCCACTGTCCCTTCCTTTCCTTTGACTACCTAAAGTTTGTAGGAAATCCAGGTTCGTCTTGTTTATCCACTACTCGCACGCGCAAACCCCTGAAGTTCTGCGTTGTCTGAATTCGCTTGAGATTCGAAAGAATTGATCGTTGCCAGGGCGGGAGGGCAGAATCCGGTACGAACATCATACCTTCTGCATTTTTCTGCTCAAAGTCCTCGAGCCTAGCGCGATTTTCAATCATTTGACGATCCTTCATGATTGGTTTATAGGGCTCCCTGCGCTTCATGAGTAGCATATGCTTATTTACGAGTTTGCTCTGTTTGAAGAGCCGTTTAATAGACATCTTGCTTTTGATTTACTAAATGGACTTTTATTTTATCGAGTATAAAAACTAAAAAAGAGCTCATATTTTTCACCAGTTAAGGATTAAATAATAGGACAACTCACCAACTAGTGTGTTGAGGGAAAGTAGGTGCGATAAGGGATTTAAGGTACTTTACTAAAATGTCCCATCTGTACAATATTCTGATGAATTGTTTGTTGGTTTTAAAACCATCAAATGTGTTTCTACACCAACACTAGCTCTGGTATAGTTCTACTGAACATGGACGGAGCACCATTTGAATTCTACACATGTTTCTCACTCACGTTTTTTTGTTTAAAAAAAAACAGTATTTTCAAAAACGTGAAATGATAATAACATAAATAATGATACTAAGCACATGCATATGTGTGTATATATATGCTCGAAGCTACTTTCTTTTACCTCCTACAGTCATCGCACTTACTGTTTCAACTATATGGGTTTTATTGGCGCACGCATCGCACCTTTTCTCCCACACCCCTTAAGCTTTACGAACAAGAATTCACCCCCTTTTTTTTACAGCTGTCTTGTTGAATTATATGATTGATTCTACCTCAGGGGGCGGTATTAACGGCTTTCGCGAGGAGCGACCTACAACAATCCCCATCATGTAAACAACGGGAAGAATAATACAATGCGCGAGAATCGTGGGAATCGACCAAAAGACTGTAAAAGGTTTTTTCCATATTGTTTGCACCTCCTCTGCGAGACGAACGACACGATATTTAAACAACTTCTTCTGCAAAAGCATAAAATCCGAGGAGAGCTGACTTGCCATGTCGATATTCACCTGCTGGCAGTACGCCATCGCCTGTTCCAAAGTGCGCTTTTGACCGGGCTCCTGAAGGAAGTTGCTCACAGCCTTGCGGGCGGCGATGGGGGTACGACGGTACATAATTTTACTTTTACTTTTGTCCTTTATTGATATATCTAAATGCTTATAAAAGAGAAGTCTATCCACTTCTAAATAGTCTCGATTTGTCAAAAACTAACCTGAGGAGAAAAAAGACCGATTCATATATGAATTGAAAAAGCATTACATTTTGATGTACAAACATGGATATCTATATTGAGATCTATATAGCTGATGTTAATGTTCGATAAATTCATATATATATATATATATATGTTATATTTGTCATGCAGACAGATGATTGCTACGATGCTATTTTTTCAACATTAATTTTCACTTTTAATGTCTCAAATGCGTGTTTGTGTGTATGGGCTGCGTACAAACGAACTGAATACAGAGAAATGCATAAATAAAGGAACCATCCAAAAAGCAAAGAAAATACGATTTTCTAAAGCCTGATTTTCTGATCAGAAGAGGATTCCTAAAATAAATTCAATTATTCGAGTAATGCAGGAAGGAATGAACCTATCAACATCACTGATCGTTTAATTCAACTTCTTGTGAATTGGCAAAACTCATCAAATTTTTTTTATCGGATTGAATCTTCTGCAGTAAGGTTGCGTAAACTCGATTGAGCAGCTCCTGCTGGAACTCCGCTGGTGTGGCGGCACCCCCAGGGCTGTTGAGATTACTTTGTAGTGATTCCTCACAGACGAGATCGCTTTTCGAGTCTTTTTGGTCCTCAACTTCGCCTTCTTTCCCCATCGGAAGACGGTGCACGGCCTCCTCAAAAGAGCCCCGCATCTTTTCCATTTCTGACGGGTGGATTCTCGGAAAGACGACGCGCCGATCGACGCGCCCGGGGCGTAAAACCGCCTCCGGTGCCGGTATCTTCGCCGCGTCGTTGGTTGTCATGATCAAAATCCGCCCCTCCCCGCTCGCGACCCCGTCGATAGTGTTTAAAAACCCGCTCAACGAGATCGCCGCGTTGCCGGTGTTCGCGAGCTCCGCTGAAGCTCCTTTCCCTTCTGTCCGAATCGCGTTTTCGAAGTCCTCGATCAACAAAATACACCTCGGGGGTAATAACCCGATGCGGTGGAGCAGCCCATCATCGGAGAGGCCGCGGCCTCGCAAGGAGAGGAGGTAAATCGGCAAACGAAGCTCTCCCGCAAGGGCCATCGCGAAGCTCGACTTCCCCGTCCCCGGGGGCCCCTCAAAAAGGTACCCCCGCCGCCAAGGAATCCCCAGGCCAGCATACAACTCGCGCAGCGTTAAAAATGCCCGGACTTCCTCCACGACGGCGTGGATCGTTTCAGGCAAAAACAACGTTGAGAGCGGGCGAAGAGAGCGCTCTGTCAGTAAAACCCACCCCCCGTAGTGATCTGCGACGTAGATTTGGACCCACCTCCGGACGTACGCCCGCCAGGAGGATCTCACGGCGGTGAGGAAGTCCTCCAAAACCTCCCGGCGGCGGGTGAGCATCGTGAGGACCAGGACGTCGTCCTCGCGGTCGAGAACGTGTGAGGTGGGTTTGCGCGATTTAACGGGGTCAGGCCGGCGGGAAATCCACATCGGGGTCGCGCGAAAGGTGAAAAAATGGCTGCCGTAGCCCGGAACGAGGACGGCCCGGCCACCCTCATCAGAATTCTCCTCTACCCCCTCCTCACCCCCTCTGTACCGTTCGTCCACGACGGAGATCGGCCTCAGCGTGAGATTCCGCGCGTGCCGCCCCTCCGGCTGCCGGCTCATCCAATCCACAATCCATGCGAACTCCGCCCGTGAGGAGCGAACCTCGAGGGTGGTAAAGAAGAGATGCTTGATCTTCTCCCCGACCAGCCCGTGGTTCGCTCGCAGCACTTCCCACAGGGCCGAGGCGGCGAAGATCGCCCCCACCCACCCCGCCGCCTCCACTGTGAACAGCCGCCCGAAGAAGCTCCTCCCGCGCGGCGGAGCCTCCTCCCCACGGGGTCCCCCTTTGTGATCCATTTCCCCTTCAGTACCAATGTCCTGTTTGGCACCAATAGCCCCTTCAGTACCAATGTCCTGTTTGGGATTGATATTGGGTTGGTTTTGTTTTGTTTTCCTGAGGATGGGAAGGTTGGTTTGGCGCCCGAGCAGCCCCACAGGTGAGATGAGCAGCTGGAGGAGCTCCGACGTGGTGAACGCGCCTCGAGCGAAACCACCCGAAAAAGCTCCCCCTCGTTTGGAGGTGCGGGATGAGCCCCAGCGTAGGATTCGCATGCCCATTCGCATCGTTGCCGCGTTATTGGTTTATTCGGTATTGGTGTTTGGATTGTCGTGGATGGTGGATTTGCATTCGGGATTTGATCCCTAGAATGCGGCGGCTTTCACGGGAAAAAAAGGACCCCCCCTTTCCCCCACACACGTCGTTGACAGTGTTGGGTGAACTACCTAAACCCACTGAATTTTAGATGGGGATGTATGGAGAGGGTGAACACAACTTGTCCTCACCTTAACAAAAAATAGTCGTTATAAGAAAGCAAAGGAAGAAGTAAAATAATGATGTGAAATCATTTGAAGATTAAACAGCCATGAAGATATAAATTTTTTCCACAGAGTACATTGCTCTGCAGTCAGTCGAAATAAAGAGTTATTCTACGAGTCGCTGGGTGTGACTCTTCGAAAGCTTTGTAAATAATAAAAAGAAGGGTTGCTTTGTCATCATTTCTCTAGGAGCCCACTTCCATTTTATTCCATCATTTTAAACTAAACACAATAGACCCTCCTAAACCAAAGGAAAAGGTGCCGATTGCTTAGTTCTGCTTGGCCTGGAAGTTCGCAATCCGCTCACGGCGTCGTTTAATAGCCTCTTTTTGGTTATTCTTGCGCACGCGGCGGGCGTTGATGAGCGAGGGCAGCCATCCGCCCCGCTTGGAGTTGTTCAGGTATAGCGGCAACGGGCGACTAATCCCATTGCGGTGATTCTTGCGGGATTGGTTGTGGTTGGTGTGGTTCTTCGATTTTGCCATCTTTCCTTGTGAGAGTCAAAGCTACTCGAAATCATATATACAGATAGAAAAAAGAATATTAAATAAGAGAAAAAAAACGGAAAAAGATAGTAACTAAATGGTTCCATAGTATTTGAGCTCCTACATCTCACATCATTTGTGAACAATACATACACCCTAACTGATGCATATAGAACTTAGGGAGAGCATTGACTGCCTTCCTATTAAACCAAAAAAGAAAAGCATGAATCCAACACGCTGATCAATATTCTTCCCTCCTCCCTTCCTTTTTATTTCGTCATCTAAAACTAAACACAATAGACCCTCCTAAACCAAAGGAAAAGGTGCCGTTTGCTTAGTTCTGCTTGGCCTGGAAGTTCGCAATCCGCTCACGGCGTCGTTTAATAGCCTCTTTTTGGTTATTCTTGCGCACGCGGCGGGCGTTGATGAGCGAGGGCAGCCATCCGCCCCGCTTGGAGTTGTTCAGGTATAGCGGCAACGGGCGACTAATCCCATTGCGGTGATTCTTGCGGGATTGGTTGTGGTTGGTGTGGTTCTTCGATTTTGCCATCTTTTTTCTTTTCCTAGTAAGGGAGGGGTATTATATCAGCTTTTGTTACTTTTGAATGAATAAATATAATACAAAATACCCCAAATATTTAAGAAAGCAGAGGGGAAGCCAATAACATACATGTTGTTCCAGATGTTTAAATATCATATATTTTCTTCATCCACACTCCCATTGCTTCAGCGAGCAAGATGTTCGAAGCTTCGTTGTATAAAATTTTATTAGTATTCTATATAACCGTATATCCATATCCGATCGTTTTAGTTTTGCTTGTTAGTTCACCTCCTCAGACTATTTGAGATTTTTTCCCTGAATCGATTTCAGACTCACCCATTTCGCGACGGCATCTACGACGCCTGGAAAGAGCGGCCTTAACGTGTACCCAATCTTTCCGGAAAAGCTCATAATCATCTCGGGCTCCCCGCGGAGGGCGCCGTCCAGGCAGATCTTCGCGCAAATCGAGGGCGAGATCCCGCGGCGTGTGGAATGTCCCTTCAAAAGCGTCCCTTCATTCCCATCCAATAGCGCCGCTTTTTGATGAAAGTCCGTGTTGATATAGTTCGGACAGCATAGCGTGAACGAGATCGCGCATTCCCCGCGAAGGGCGTTGATGAAGCCCTGCAAGGCGTGTTTGGAGGCCGTGTAGGCGCTCCGCCACGTCGACGGCAGGACGGCCGCAAGGGAGGAGATCACCACCACCCGACTTGGCGATTCCCCGCTCTGATTGGCGCAAAGCTGCGGGAGAAAGCACTGTAATAACCACACATTTGCGAAGTAGTTAATACGCATCAAATCCGAGCAAATATCGCGGAAGGGCTCCCCAGGGGTGAAGGGCCCGATCGCGCCCGCGCCGGCGTTGAGGATGAGGTAGTTCAAGTTCTCCCCATGCAGGGCGGTAAACTCCCGCTCGACCTTTTGAACGTCGTCCAGGACGCCAAGGTCGGCGAGGATGAAATCCGCCCGAGGGGCCCCGGCGGTTTTACAAATCTCAACCGCCTCCCGCAGTCGAGCTTCGTTTCGCCCGACAAGAACGACGTTGCATTGGGCCGTGGCGAGGCCTTTTGCGAGCTCCAGCCCGATGCCGCTGCCGCCGCCGGTGATCAACGCCACCCCTCCCGCTTTCCAGCCCTTTGGACGACGGCAACGACGGTACACCCAACGCGCGAGGAGCCATATGCTCATCGAAATGATGAGGCTTCGATATAAACGCATTTTGCTTTTGGTTATGAATTGTTAAATGAGGTGTTGTTAGTTTTGTGGAGATCAAAAAAAAAACTATACCTTTTCACAAACACACTGAGGGAAATAATAATAATAATAATCATAACCAGGACAAGTGACCTTTCACTTTCCTCCGTTTGTTTATATTTTGTAACGGATGAAATTTCGAGTTTGTTTTAGCCTTTCCAGCCTACGAGCATGGCTCATACACACAATACGAAAAAGGAGAGCACAAACAAAATATGAAAATGTAAAAGCGTTCCCTCCCCCCTCGAAAAAAAAATATAAACCTTCATAGTTTGCTTTTGCTATAGATTGTATGCTTGTTTTTCTCAATTGTTTTTCGCATTTTCGCACCAGAAAGATTTGCTTCTATAATATCATCACCACTCGAATATAGAAAAAAAAAGGGGAGGGAGAG